ATGTTGTTGGTTGGGGTTGTTGTGTCGGGGGGGGGGGGGGGGATACTTCTTACCACAAGCACCTGAGCTGCCCGCTGTCGGAGATAGACTAGACGAGACGCCCCCTGCGCATGCGCAGTGGCTCTCTGAGGCCACGCAAGGCGGGACAGGCCCGAGCGACGGCGGGAAAGCGGGATGATGAACTCGGCCTTGTGGGGGGCCTGCCCTCCACTACCCCACCCCGGCCCTCCCCACGCGCAGAGGCGGCCCCCGACTCCCAGAGACCGACCTGCCGGGCCGCGGTGCCGGTGCGCTCCCGCAGGGCCTTCAGCCGCTCCTTCCGCCTCAGCGCCTCCTCCTGCAGTCCTCCCGGCGCCGCCGCCATCTTGGCGCCTACTGCGCAGTCGCGCGGCGTCGCCGACAGCCGCTGGAGCCGCCACGCGGGAGAGCCGAGAGTCTCGGCCGGGAGGCGGCGAGTAGAGCGCCGAGTGCATCGATCGGACAGGGCGCTTTCTGTTTTGGAGGCGGGGCGAAGGGAAGGAGGCGGGGCGTCTCTGTCGCTCCCCAGCAAACGCCCCTCTGAGCATGGGCAGAGTGCTTTGCCATCTGATTGATTAAGAAGGAATTGTGTTGTGGAAACAAAGGGCAGCTATGTTAGTCTGTAGCAGTGGTCTTTAGTGTTGCCAAATCTGGGTTGAGAAATTCCGGGAGATTTGGGGGTGGAGCATGAGTGGAGTTCGGGGGAGGATCCTTAGTGGGCCATAATGCCATCGACTCCGACCTCCGAAGCAGCCATTTTCTCCAAGAGGGATTGATCTCCATAGTCTGGAGATCTGTTGTAATTCTGAGAGATCTCCAGGGCCTAACTGGAGGTTGGCAACTCTGATTTCGAAAAGTTTAACTTTTCTGAGATGGACACTGTTCATTTCAGTGGGTGAGTTAACTCTGTTCAGGATTGCACATGTGCAGATCTTCCGAACTGAGGTAAATGGAACTTTGGCTGGGATCATGTCGATATTTAGAAAATTAGGTAAAGGTAAAGGTTCCCTTGCTCGATAGCCAGTCGAATCCGACTCTAGGGTTGCGGTGCTCATCTCCGTTTCAAAGCCGAAGAGCCAGCGCTGTCCGAAGACGTTTCCGTGGGCATGTGGCCGGCATGACTAGACGCCAAGGCGCACGGAACGCTGTTACCTTCCCACCGAAGCGGTACCTGTTTATCTACTTGCAATTTCTTGCTTTCGAACTGCTAGGTTGGCAGGAGCTGGAACTAGAGACAGGAGCTCACCCCGTCTTGCGGCACCCGGGTCTTGAACTGCTGAACTACCGACCTTTCACAGCCTGCAGTTCAGCGTCTTAACCACTTGAGCCACTGCAGCTCCATAAAACCTGTAATGTATCGGAATCCTCACTTGAATCGGCCCATTTACATTCAATGTTAAGCTTCAAGCCAGACCAGGGCTCCTCTGAGCGAACTTCCTATTGGTCGCTTCGTAACAGCGACCAATCAGAACGATACCATTCCCTAGGAGGGAAAGACTCCCATTGGCCTTTATCCTAGCAATCTCATTGGTTGTTAAATGTAAATAGGCGTGGCTACATTAGCCCGGTTATGTTTAAAAGGAGCATAAGCTCCCACTGTTTTCTGTTCTGGTTTCTTACTGAGTTAGTGCTTGTTCGTTACTTCCAATAAAGCTGAATCACTTGCTGAATCACTCTACGAGTCCTTTGTTAGCGCGATCTAACAATTGGCGACGAGGATGGGATGTTAGAGCAGGTAGGCAGCCCTGCGGACATCCACACTTCGGACTCGGAAGAAAGCGAGCAGAGCACAGCAGCCGATCCGGCGGAGGCGCCACCAGCTCCGGTGCCCAAGTCTCCCCCGATGGCTGGAAGCCAGAAGTTCGAGTGCTTCGAACCCTCCTCAGAAGACTGGGACTCCTACCTGTCCAGGTTCGAGTTCCATCTGGAGACCCACGACATCACCGATGAGGCGAAGAAACGAGCATGCCTCCTGAGTTCCTGCGGGAAGGGGACCTTCGACATAGCCAGGTCGTTGGTGGCCCCAACTGATATAAAGACTGTCACCTACGCTGACATCACGGAGAAGCTTAAGGCTCACTATTCTCCACAACCGTCGGAGATCGCCTGCCGGCACGCTTTTTACAAGCGGAACCAGGCCGGAGGCGAGACCATCGCAGATTTCGTGGCGGCCCTTCGCAAAGCCGCACGACCATGTAATTTCCACAACGTGGAGGAAGCCCTCAGAGACCGTCTCGTCTGCGGTCTCAAAGATGAAAGGCTGCAACAGAGGCTGTTCGCCCGCACCACCCTGACCTGGGCAGTGGCCTACGAAGAGGCCGTGGCCGCGGAAGCAGCGGAGAAGTCCACGAAGGAGGTCCGCCAGCGGGTGGCAGAGCCCAGTATACACGCTCAACGAGACAGCGAGGGCGAAGACGCGGATGATGACGTCAACGCGGTTCGAGGCAAGCGGACCCCAGCGAAGACTACCAACGTCAAGCCTTGCTCCGGTTGTGGCGGGAAGCACCAGCGCGACTCCTGTTGGGCTCGTGATGTCGACTGCAGAGCGTGTGGACGGCGTGGTCATCTGGCCAGAGTCTGCAGATCAGCGAAGAAGGATCCCTCAACTAACAACCGGTCAGCGCAGAGGGGCACTCCAGTCAGCACCCAAGGCAAGACCCATTCCTCAGCATCGGAAGCAAGCTGCCAGTTGACGGCGACCTTGTCGAGCGCATCGGCCGTAAATCGCACCAGCAGCCAGGGCAAGATCACCGTGACTCCACTCCTCGACGGCCGACCCTGTACAATGGAGGTGGACTCAGGATCGTCCGTGACGGTGATTTCTGCCGCGTCCTGGCGCCAGTTGTTCCCGAACCGAAGCCGGCGGCGGCTCCAGCCTGCGGGAACCAGAGTGTCCGACTTCCAGGGCAACCGAATTCCCTTGGCCGGACGGGACTCTGTTACTGTTGAGTATAAGGGGAAATGTGTTAAACTGTCATTCCTGATTGCAGAGGGAGACCGGGTTAACCTGCTAGGGTTAGATTGGTTTGAGCCATTGGGCATTGGTATTTCTGGGATTAACAGGATGTCTGAAAATAAATGGGGCATGCTGTACGACCTGTTCCCTGATGTATTTGCCGAAGGGTTGGGGAGGTACAAGGGCCCCCCGGTTGCGTTTGACTTAGATCCGTCAGTCAAACCTATTAGGTTGAAGTATCGGAAAGTACCTGTGTCTCTCAAACATAAGGTGGAAAAAGAGATTGACAAACTAGTTGAGCAAGGGGTTTTAGAGCCAGTACCATACAGCAAATGGGAGACCCCGATCGTAACCCCTGTCAAATCAGATGGGTCCATACGACTATGCGCCGATTACAAATGTACGATTAACAAGGCGCTGCAGCAACATTCGTACCCGGTCCCGGTAATAAGCCACATTTTGGCTTCCCTGGGGGGTGGCAAGATTTTCGCCAAATTTGACCTGGCCCAGGCATACCAGCAGTTGCCTGTCACCCCGGAGGCTGCCGAGGCCCAAACAATTGTAACCCACCAAGGGGCTTTTAAAGTGAACAGGCTGCAATTCGGGGTCAACGTAGCACCTGGGATTTTTCAGGGCCTCATGGAACGTCTACTAAGGGGGGTACCTGGCACAGTGCCCTATTTTGACGACGTGCTGATTGCGGGCGGGTCTGAACAGGAACTACTGGACCGGGTTAAAGAGGTCCTCAGGCGTTTTCAAAATGCCGGTCTCAGAGTTAAGCGCTCAAAATGCACGCTCGGGGTGGAAAGTGTGGACTTCCTGGGGTTTCGCATTGACGCAGAGGGAGTCCACCCCACGGATGAGAAGGTATCTGCAATCCAAAACGCCCCCAGGCCGGTGAGTAAGAAGGAGCTCCAATCCTTTTTAGGACTCCTGAATTTTTATCATGCGTTTTTACCGCATAAGGCATCAGTGGCGGCCCCTTTGCACGCGCTTTTGCACAAGGAGGCAAAATGGAAGTGGGGGCAGGCCGAGGAAAAGGCTTTTGTGGGAGTCAAGGAGCTGCTGACATCTAATGCCGTACTCACGCATTATGATGAACACAAGCTCCTGGTGTTAGCTGCTGACGCTTCACCTTTTGGAGTAGGCGCAGTTTTAAGCCATCTGATGCCTGATGGGAGCGAAGCGCCTATCGCTTTTTATTCTAGATCACTATCTGCGGCAGAGCGGAACTATGCCCAGATAGACAAGGAGGGTCTGGCGTTGGTAGCGGCTGTCAAAAAGTTCCATGATTTTATTTTTGGCAGACGATTTTTGCTGGTCACTGACCACAAGCCGCTACTGGGGATTTTTGCGCCCGATAAGCAATTGCCAAACATCATGTCCCCACGCATGCTTAGATGGGCGATATTTTTGCAGGCTTATGATTTTGACTTAGAGCACCGGCCTGGGAAAGCGATTGGGCATGCGGATGCCCTCAGCCGGTGCCCGGTGCCGGACATTGGCGCAGACCCTGCCCCCGCCTGTGAGGTCTTGGCAATTGAGGAGCTTCCTCGACCCCCGGTATCATCCAGGGACATTGCAGCACACACGGCCAAGGATAGCGTGCTGTCCCGAGTATTAAACTGGGTTTGGAGGGGGTGGCCGGTTGGAAGCGTTGAACCGGAGTTCGGCCCTTACAAAAGCCGTCAAAATGAACTATCCATTTCTAAGGGCTGTGTATTATGGGGGAACAGGGTGGTGGTTCCTGACAAACTCAGGACGAGAGTGTTAGAGTCGCTGCACGAGGGTCACCCCGGTATGGTACACACCAAAGCGTTGGCCAGAGGGTATGTCTGGTGGCCGGGGCTGGACAAAGAGATCGAAGAATGGGTACGAGGGTGTCCCAAATGCCAGCAAGTCAGACCCGATCCCCCACAAGCTACACCCCAAGGCTGGGAGTCATCTGGTAAACCCTGGGCCAGATTGCATATAGATTTTGCTGGCCCTCTCCAAGGGCAAATGTTCCTAATTGTGGTGGACGCTATGTCCAAATGGCTGGAGGTCGTGCATATGAAATCGACCACATCACTTGCTGTGATCCATGCGCTCCGCCGACTTTTTGCCACCCACGGGTTGCCTGACGTCATCGTCAGTGACAACGGGCCTCAATTTGTGTCTGAGGAATTTAGGCTCTTCCTCACGAGTAATGGCATACGCCAAATGACTTCGGCCCCTTTCCATCCGGCATCTAATGGCCAAGCCGAACGGATGGTCAGGACGGCCAAAGAGGCCCTGGGTAAAATGGACGAAGGGGACTGGAGCCAGAGGCTGGGCTCCTTTCTTTTGCTGCAGCACACCACCCCCTGTAGTGCTACAGGCCGTAGTCCGGCCGAATTGTTAATGGGGCGGAGACTCACGACCCGTTTGAACCGAATGCACCCAGACCTCACTGAAGAGCAATCCGAGCGTACCACGGCGCAACCGAAGGTGCGCATGTTTGAAAAAGGGGACAAGGTTTTCGCACGAAATTATGCAAACGGGCACTTATGGCTTCCTGGGGTTATATCCGACTCTGTGGGTACTCGAATGTATGTGGTGCAGTTAGCTGACGGTCGAATATGGCGGCGCC